AGATTATAAAATACTACTTATTAAAACACTCACCATTGCTTTATTCAGAAACCTAGAGTGAGTGCCCTTTTCAGTTGTAGTTACTGGGACCAGCAGATGGTGTAATGGTTACATCACTGGACTCCCACGTAGTCAACTGTGGTTCGAGTCCCGGATGCAGCAGCTTAAACCTCACAGTGGGCACATGTGCGTGCGTGCCCAAGATCCCAAGAGGAAAATGGAAGAGTAGGGATTGCAGTGTGGCCATCCTCCCGGGGGCGGGGGGGATTTCTCACTTTCTAGCTCTCTTTTTACAGTGAGCACACGTGCCTATAGCAAAAATCTCTTTTAAAAAAAATTGTAATTATTTGGGTATGTCTTTCTGTCATCCTCATTAGATCATCCTTATTAGGTCATCATCTTCTCAGGGAAAGAATTCTGTTTTCCTTTATATCCTCCACAGTAGGACACCCAAATAAATACTTTTGGAATTCATGGGAGAGGTCACTTTGTTAATAGGTTTCCTTTGCCCACACATATTTCCACTTTCATAAGAGCTCTAGAAGGAGCCAGAGTTGTACAATTCTGGAAAATCCAACGAGAGCAGCAGGTATGACAGTGAGGGTGCCCTGGAGGAAACACTGCTTTCCATGTTCCTTGATGTTATCCTGGCTGAGACCTGTTAAGGAATATGTCATGACTTGCCTTATACCCAGTCAGCCTGTGTTTTGTATGAATAATGTACTTGAGTATATTGGTGCCTGATTCTTCTGACTCATTCATTCTGCTCCTCAGAAAATGTAATGATGCCTTGAGGGCATGGTCATCTCTGCTTTTGTTCTGAGATTTTGTTCTTGTCTGGCCCCTATACAGTGCCTGTCTCCTTCTCCACCTCCTCTTCAGCCAGCAGCTGCCACATGGAACTCTGTGGCTCAAGCAGCAGCAGTCAGAAGATGCTCTCACTGCCCACTTCCTGTAGACAAAGAGGCTAGGGTGGGCTGCTCAGGAACGGTGCCAACCCTGTGTCTGATGGGTGACTGACTCATGAGAAAGGCAGCCTTGTGTCTGAAAGATAAGAGCCAACAGATCACCTCCAGGTGGTGTTAGTTTGGAGGTGACTGACCATTTATTTCCTCTCTTCAACAGGAGATGGTGGGGAGGGAATCAGTGAATAAGTTGTCTGGCCTTCATTTTTCTCCAACTATAGTGAAATAGCTAAGCAGATAGTTGGTTCTCACTGCTAGAATGGCTGATGGACCCCAGTGCCCTCTTAATCCCTCTACTGATGTCAAGGTATCATACTTATGTGTCCTCCATCCTGTGTCTTCTCTTGAATACTTTGCTCATCCTCTTGCCAGGCAGCTGCTGTGTGCACTGAAGGAACTCTGCTCCATTGCTGCCAGATTTTCCTATGACCAGCCAAAACCCATTCCATAGTTTTTTCCAGTTCTCTCCCTGATGAAAACTTGGTACCCTGTCCCAGGAGTTGATCAGAAGTGGTATTCTGAACCACTGTCTTTTGGCTGGGCTTAAGGGTCCAAGCAGGTGGGTCTGCCTCCCCTCCCCTCCTCTTCCCTCTCCACCCCTGCTGCCTCACTCCCATTTCCTGCAGGAGGATGCTTTGCCATCCTGGAGCCGTCAGGCACAGCTTTGCTTTGGCAGCACCATCGCTCACACACTGGTGGGAGAGGGGACGTGTTTATCACTTTTCCTGGAGATTATCTGTTTAAGCACTTCTCTGACAGTTACAATAACAAGGGCAGTGTGTTGTGTTTCCCAGCAGAAGGACACTTGCTGTTGAAAGATGTATAGCACTAATTAGAAATACATAACATCCGGCCACATGGCAGCCTTCTCCCGGCCGCTCCATTTCCTGATTTCATACAACTTTGACGACAGTTGGTTTATGTTTTCCATGAATATGTTCTCAGAAAAATGAGAAAATCTCCCTGTTAAATAGGAATGAGACTATTTCAGCCTGAGTAGGTATTTGGCCACAGGAGTACTGGGAGCTATGATCCCTTGCCTTCATGTAGGAAGGACAGAACCAAGCTCAGACCTCAGGTGACTTCTGGGTAAGAAATATTTCCATCGTACTTCCTTAGCCAAAATCGTCTACCTACACTCTTGAGATAGCCTGCTTTTGGAAAGAAGGGGAAAGGCTATTTCACAATGTTAATGAGTTCCTCAGCTCGTGTCAGGCTCTTGCCACCTGACACAAAGCCAGAGGAACCCAGGCAAATACCAAGGCAAACAATGCCTTTTCCTCCTCCACCCCACATTGCTCCTTGGCCTGGTCCAGCCCAGCTCTAGGGATATGTATGGGTATTTGTCAGATTATGGAAAATAGGTAGACTCTGGGAGTATAGATGTGAAGATTCTGAAGGGGTGACATCTTGTGGTTTCCAGCCTGTAGAAGCCTTCTTGAGGTGAAGCACATCCCCTCACGATACCATGTGTTTAATTCATTTCTCCTTTGAGGCCCTGGGCCCAAGTTGTTGTGGTTACTTGGGTAAATACTGATTTTCTTCACCCTATTGGAAGGTCTTAAGGTTGCAGAGACCAGTTTTTATTTCAGTTGTGTTCACTGTAGTACCTAGCACTGGGCCTAGCATAGTATAGATGCTCAATATGTGCTCGTGGTACCATGCGCCATGGTGAGAGACAGGCGTTTCAGAACGTGCTCGGATAGCATGCCAGTCAGAGGCTGACTGCTCTCATGCCCTAGAGAGCTTGTAATATCTCTACCTGCTCAATTAGGGGAAAGCAGCTTACTGGTTTCTGCCTGCCAGTCAGTTGGGCCAGACACTCAAGCATGCAGGGTTCTCGGGCCTTTCCTCTGAAAGGGTAGAGAGGTGATGGGGTTAACGTGACGTAATCATGACTAAGCGCAGGACCTGAAGCTGTCTTCTAGCTGCTACTCTGAGAGGTAGTTGAGCCCTTCCAGACTTACCCCAAAGAGGCCCCAGTTGTTGTTACCCTGCCAGGTCCCTATACCTTATGATAGGAGGCTTTAACAAAGAAGCCAATCTCAGCTCTCCAGAGGCCATAGATACTATCATTCTTAAGCAATTTATTCTTCCTCTTGAGCTCTAGCCCCTTGCCTTGAACTCTGAGTCTAGCCTGAGATTGCCATTTTAAAATAATTGTCCTCTGCCTCATCTAATCCTTATCCAGGCTAGTGACAGGGTCTTATGGTAGCTTTGTGCTTCTCAAAATACCAATCTGTTGAAGCTGAAATATCGCCCTCCCTCCATTCTGGATTCAGGTAACTTCTGTCTAAGCTGCCTCATCGATGAGATGTTTACTCAGGTGTGTCTGCTACCAGGCTGTGGCCTCCAGTATTCCAGCTTCCTCTGTATGGGACCTATTCCTTCATTTGGGGCTGTGTTGCTGATCACAGGCAGGCTGCTGGCAGTGCTCAGCTGGAGGTATTGACAGTGCTGCTGCCTATGTTCGGGGGAAGGTAGAGGAAGAAACTGGCAGCTTTTCTTGAGACAGCCTGCACTTCTTCCCTTTCCTTGCTTTTGATCTTGTCTATTCTTGCAGTCTATCTAACAGAGATTTAGGACCTCATCAGAAGAAGAATGAGAGTAGTAATCTATCATAATCACATGGATTGTTGCCACTTCCTTAACTGCCTGGCACAATTGAGTTGGAAAGTTAGTGACATTTGGGGCCAGTGAGCATCTTGAAAGATGGCAGGAAAGTTACAGTAAGGAACTGCTACACTGATGCTGAATTGATGCTCTTCATATGTTGGGCCCCTCTGAGCAAATAGCCCGCTCCTTACTCCAGGATTTTCAGCAATGGTCTAGGGCTGACTTTGTACAGTCAGTCATACTCGTTCCTCTCCAAAGACTGTTGGGAATAACTGGCTGTGTGGCATCTCCTGGAGTAACGACTTCAGTTAGGTCTCATCAACAAGACTAGTGAACCCATGAGAGAGGACTCGCCCTTGGATATTGGGGTTATAACGTAGGCAGGGACAGAGATCAAACATGTAGGCATTCATCCTTTTAACACTTACAGTTTTGAGCGCTCTCCTGTGTTACAGAGGAATTAACAGATTAGATGCTAACAGAGTTTATGAGCCCAGCCCCTGACTCCTTCCTGTGAGTATTGGGTATGTCCTCCTCTGACAGGGCAGATCTAACTGCTGCCTGTATTTGTCACCAGTTCCTTTTAAGTCCAGATGAAGTGGCTGTTGAGGAGGGCCATTGACAAAGAACAGGTACAGGAAGGGAACTGGAAGTTTGTTACATGCCCCCACCAAAGGATAACCGCCCACCAACAAGGTGGCTCCTCCACAGTGACCTGCAGCCAGAAGGAGGTTAGTCATGCTGAAAAAGTGAAGGAAAGAAGGTGCTCATAGGGGAGCCTCATTTAGTTTTTAGTCCTAAAATTTAACCCTAAGAATTTATGAAAATAAAAGCTAACCCTGATTAAGTGCTTATTATGTGCCAAGCACTGTTCTATATAAAATTTACTCATTCACTGGAAGTAGGTTATTTCTTTCATGTGTGTTCTCTTAGAAGGAGGGACATAGAGGAAGTTGGAATGGAACTCAAGTTGGTGATTCAAAAAGATAATATTTAAATTTGGAATTTTCTGATCTTTGTGGATACTTGTGCTCCTGCTAGGTGTACAGTAGAGGCTGAGTTAATTAAACCTGAGTTCTTGTTGCTGGAGCTTTACATTATCAGTAGTCAACTAAAAGCAGAGACCCTGCAACTCTGGCTCACCGCCCACCTTGAGGATAACTGGTCCTGGAGAAGTAATGTGATGAGAATTTACACATGTGATCCTTAGAATGTTATTGAGTGCTTATCCATATGCCAGGCATTAGGGTAAGTGCTTCACATGCTTTGTCCTATTTATTTATCCTTAAAAGTACCCTTTGAGACAGGATAAGGAAACAGAGCTTGGTAACATGGCCAAGAATGTGTTACCTCATAAGGTAGGGAAGCGTAGCCCTTGGCCCCCAGGGTACTGATGGAGTTTCATTTGCCTCTCCTCAGACTGCTTCTCAGAGGAGTGTCGCTCTGTGATACAGGAGCAAGCTGCAGCCCTGGGCTTGGCCATGTTCTCCCTCCTGGTGCAGCGCTGCACCTGCTTGCTTAAGGAGTCTGCCAAAGGTAAGCAGGAGGGCCCCCGGTCGGTAGCCTGTCCAGACAGACCTCAGAATACCATGCTGCCATCTCAGTATCTTCTTTCTATGCCCTCTGGTCTTCTTTTGTCCACCTAAGAGATGGGTCCCATTTTTGTAACCCGATTACCTCTAAGGCCCTTTTCTCCTTGTGGAACTTTCTTCCATCTTTTTTCTTTTAGTAGTTCAGATTTTCCCTGTCCCTATAAACTGTGGTATATTTTTGCATCTAAAATAGAAACCAAAAAAATTAGTTTCCATTTTTATTCATAATTAATTTTCTCTACTTTGTATCTGTGTCTCTTTTTTATTAAAAAAAAAAAGATGATTATTTTGTGATTATTATTTATTTTTAGTACTAGTTTTTAATTTGACCAGAGAGAGGGAAAGTGAGAAAGCAAGCCACCAGGCCCAGGACTTGAACCACAGTCGGCCATGTGAGAGTCTAGTACCTCAACCACCATACCACCTCCTGGCCCCCTCTGTCTCTCTCTTTGTCTGTTATCTGGTTGGTTCTAAAACCACTACAGCCTAGCCACCTTGGCAGGTTCACTGGACCAGAGTAGATGCTGTTTTTAGTCCTTGGGTGGAAGTAGTGTCCCATATCCTTTAAGGCTGTCCTTCACTGCTGTGTCAATATAAGGTAGAGCTGAAGGTTACATCTTTCTGTCAGATTCTGTTAGGTCATCAGGAAAGTCATTACGTATTTTTCTATGCAAAAATGCATCATGGCTTTTCCAACTACCTAGTATTTCAGCATTGGTAGTGAGGCCCCTATATCTTCCTTTGCCATACCAGCCTTTGTGAATTCCTCTAGCCTCTGAGGCTGCCTTTTTTCCAGGGGCCAAGTGACAGCCTTTTATTTATTTATTTTTTAAATTTTATTTATTTATTTAGTTAGTTAGTTAGTTTTTGCCATGGGACATGAGGGCTCACTGGAGAAAGAGAGAAGGAAAATGATAAATTCCTCCCCCCACCCCCCGAGAGAGTGGTCTTACTACAATCCCTTCTCCTCTATCTCCTCTCGGAATATTGGGTACGCATGCACACTTACTCAGTGTGATTTTGAAGCCACCAGGTCTAGGATTTGAACTGTGGTCTGCCATGTGGGGAGTTTAGCACCTTAACCACTACATCACCTGCTGGCCCAACAGTTTCTTGTGTGTGTGTGTGTGTGTGTGTGTGTGTGTGTGTGTGTTTGAGCAATTTTTGCTATGAGGCACATACGCTCGGCCAGAGAGATAGAAAACAAGAAAGCACTCTGGGAGGATAACCACTCTCAAACCTTTCTTCTCCATTTTCCTCTCGGGTTTTTGGGCACGCATATATACACACACCCAGCATGAGTTTCAAGCAGTCAGATCTGGGACGCAAACCATAGTCAGCCAAGTCCAGCACCCTAACCAGTACACCAGCTGTTGGTCCCCAGCTTTTTATTTTAAAACAGTTTTAGGGCCAGCCCTATTGCCCAGTGATTAAGGGGGCTGGATCCCACATGGCTGAATATAGTTTGAAACCCAGCCCTGGCAGTTTAAAACATACCAGGCATGTATATCGGGGCCCAAAATCCTGATAGAATGGAGAAGTAGAAAAGGATTTGCAGGGGCCAGAAGGTGGCGTGGTTAAGGGCACCAGACTCCCACGTGGCTGACCATGGTTCTAGTCCCAGACTTGGAGGCTTGTTTTCTCACTTTCTCCTCTCGTTCACACTCTCGCTCTCACTCTGTCCGTCTCTGATCAAATTAAAAATAAATAAATAGTTAAATAATTCTTTGGGGGAAAAAAAGAAAGGGATTTGCAGTGTCACAATATCCCATTAAAAAATGCTTTCTTTCTCTCTCTCTCTCTGTCTCTCTGTCTCTCTGCCAAGCACATGCATCTTCTGATAATTAAAAATGTTTATTGGGGGCTGCCAGGTGGTGTGGTGGTTAAAGGCGCTGGATTCCCATATGCCTGACTATAGTTCAAGTCCCGGACCTGGTGGCTTGCTTTCTAACTTTCTTTCTCTCTGTCCCTTTCTGGTCAAATTAAAATAAACAAATGAATAAAGTTACATGAAAAAAATATTTTTTTTAATGTTTTTTCTCAGGACCATCAAGGACGTAATGATTGTAGCACTGGACTCCTACATAGTCGACCATGATTCGAGTCCTAGACCAGGCAGCTTAAAACTCAGACTGGGCATGTGTGTGTGTATGCCCAAAATCCCAAGAGGAGAAGGGATCGTCGCATGGCCATCCTCCCTGCAGGGTGATTTCTCACTTTCTCTCTCTCTCCAGCCAGCTCACACACTCTATAGAAAAAATATCTCAGGACCAGCAGTTAGCATAATGGCTATGTCGCTGGACTCCCATGTAGTCAACCACAGTTCGCGTCTCGGACCCGGTGGCTTAAAACTCACGCTGGATGCCTGTGCGTGTGTGCCCAAGATCCCGAGAGGAGAATGGAGGAGAAGGGATTGCTGCGTGGCCATCCTCCCTGGAGGGTGATTTCTCGCTTTCTGTCTGTCTGTCTCTCTCTGTCTGTCTGGCGAGCGCACGTGCCCTATAGCAAAAACCTCTTAAAAAAAAAAGAAAAAAATATCTCAAAAAAAATTTTTTTTTCAAGTTCACAAAACAGTTGCAAGAATAGTGAAAAGAACTCTGTACACCCTTCACCCAGATTCCTAATTTACCATTTTACTATCTGGCTCTAAATTTGCTTCTCTCAATCTCATACACACACACACACACACACACACACACACACACACACACAGTCTTAAGCTTATTATTTTCATCTGAACTATTTAATTTTTTTAAGAGAGTTTTTTTTTTTTTTTTTTTTTTTTTTTTTTTTTTTATGGGG